TATATATATATATATGTATATATATATGTATATATATATATATATGTATATATATATATATTTCAAGAGAACGAGAGAATGACCATATTGCTGTGTGCTCTCTTGCTACAGGTACTGGGTACCAGTGGTGTGGCTTCCTATTGTGTTTTATTTCACTTGGCACTGCTACACCACCCTGGCTAAGGGCACCACCAGGCTCAACCTCACTTCAGGTAACACACACAAGTGCCTGCCTGAACACACAACCATACAATGCTGGTATCATGATTAAAATTAAGCACCAGAGACTTTTTCCACACTTTCATTTGCACATCTCATTTACGTACGCACACGACCCTGTAATAAATACCACGTCATCATCGCTCCAGCTAACGCGTGTGTGTATCTTATGTCACTAATCTGTGTGTGTGTTCCCAGGCATCTCTGTCCCGATACACAAGTACCTCTTCCCTCTGCTCTTTCTGATGGGCTGGTTCTTGTGGTCGTTCATCGAGTACTGCATCCATCGCTTTGTCTTTCACATGAAACCGCCGGCCCACAACTACTACCTCATCATGCTACACTTCCTGCTGCACGGACAGCACCACAAGGTACGACAAACACTGGGCCACTGAGTGACGGGCCATAAAAGTGGTTTAACCATTAGCTCCTAACTGTTTCTTGTATGCCCTTTATTGACGGTATTAAACAACTTTCTCTCTATTCCAACATAGTTTCAACCTCACTTTTGTGCTCTGAACATTATCAATTGTTGTAATTGACATTGATCATTTATGATTCTCTTTAAACGAACGTGCTTTTCATCCCGTCTCGGGTGTACGATTTCTCTTTTTCTGTCTCCGCAGTGTCCGTTCGACGGCTCTCGGCTGGTCTTCCCCCCCCGGCCTGGCCTCCCTGGTGGTGGGGAGTTTCTATCTAATCCTGTGCAGCACGCTCCCGGAGATCCTCGGGACGTCGGTGTTCGTGGGAGGACTGTGTGGCTACGTCGTGTACGACATGATCCACTACTACCTTCACTACGGTTCGCCCAAGAGAGGCTCGTACATGTACGGCCTGAAGGTCTACCATGTCAAACACCACTTTGAGCACCAGAGAGCAGGTGAGCGCTGGAAGACGGAAATTTTGAGAGACATATAGAGGTCAAGGAAGATGCTGTTGGATTTTTAGCTTTGATTCTCCATGCTTCTGTTTTTGTCTGCTGTATCTGAAGTAACAATGTAATCTCTTTCCAGGTTTTGGAATCACCTCCACGTTCTGGGACCACCCCTTCAACACAGTCATCCCCAATGAGAAGTTCTAACACAGAAACGGCTCTCCTGAAGGGCCACAGGACTTATCAACCACCCTCCCCAGCAACCAGCCCACACGCTGTAACCACCCGGACACCCGTAGTTCAATTTCCGCCGCCACAGCTTTCAAAACATCATGTGGGTGCGTCGACTGGTACGCACCGTTTCTACTCCGTGATCACTCCTGCACTGTTGCAAAGCCTTTTTGTGCCATTTTTTTATATTGTTTTGATTATTATTAACCAAACCAACATCTACTACCGCTGTGCTCTTCACCGCACTGACCTCGCCAGCCAAGTCATCGGAGGAAGGCCGGCGAGAGACACACACATGAACAGACACACACACAAGCACGGGCACATCTGTGTATTTTTTGAAGGAATTACACGATTCCTCCAGAGCTGTAGAATACTGTAGTGCACATTCAAAATCACACTGAACAAACTCCAAAAAATACTCCAAATACGCACTCTTCTATTCGCCAGCAGCACGAAGACGCGGTTGCACAGGCGCAAATGCATCTTCACTTTTAAACTTTGGTGAACTTCGACCGGCGAGGTCGCAGCCTCAACCGATAGCAAAGAAGCGCGTGTGTGTGTGCGGTTGACCCCAATCGGCACCGCCCACATAGAGCACAAATATTGCCTCATGTGTGACCATGCCCTTACACACATTAATGTTCATCAAATGTGCGCACACACACACACACACACACACATGTGTACTGTCCAAGATTCCCTCAGAGGAGGACGGAGGGAAAAGGAAGTGATAGGTGGTCGTTGAATGTGGATGTGACGGAGTGACAGAAAGTGTGTGTGAGATTGTGTGTAGAGGCGAGAGAGAGAGAGAGAGAGAGAGAGAGCCTGTGAACGGGTGAACCAACTCAGGAATGAATAACCTTCATCCTTCCTCCGCACTGTCTGCAGCTTTAATGTTCACCCAGCTACGCTGCTATACTCTGCTATGCTGCTACACTCTGCTACGCTGCTACACTCTGCTACGCTGCTATACTCTGCTACGCTGCTACACTCTGCTACGCTGCTACACTCTGCTACGCTGCTACACTCTGTTACGCTGCTACACTCTGCTACGCTGCTACATTCTGTTACGCTGCTACACTCTGCTACGCTGCTACACTCTGTTACGCTGCAGGTATTGTAACAGTCTACAGATGTTCCTTCCACTGTAGTTTTTGGAAATGGCTGTGACCAGAAAATGTTTGGTTTCAGATGTTTCAACATGCTGACAGTTGAGATTTAATTTATTCACGACCAGCAAAGCCGCAGAAGTGAAATCGTACCGTAGGGCACTAATGCAATGTAACGTTAACGTGCCATGTAAAGCAGAGTCCTACATGTTTCTAACCACTGGACATATATTTTTGCAAGTCTTTTGTAATACTTTCTCCGTTTTTTCTTTTCTTTTTTTGTCATTCATTACACAACAAAGATGTAGAAAACATATTTTGTAAGCCATTATGTACAGAAGAGGAGATTGTTTAATTACAGCAGCGTTACGTTGCCGGAGTGAGCAGATGTTTTCTTATTGGTGGCATGTGAGGAAAATGGATGTAGTGTGTTGTTATGGCATCAGAGGGACAGAGCTGAAGGAATGAGGCCGGCCTGTCAGACTTCCTGCTGTGGGGATCTCGGGGTTATTTTTTTTTTTAGTGGCCCTGCAGACCCCAGCAGGATGACGATGGATGAACCATCTGACCGGGCAGCAGGAGATCTTGATGGCGACTGGCGGATCCTCAGAATGTCTCTAAACACTCAACAGCTAAACACTGATAACTAAAGCAGAACAAACTTCATTAAAACTATTTACATAAATAGGTAGAGCAAAGTGAGAATATACTACAACTGTAGGAAATCATTTCTTATCCATGTTTCTAGTTTGAAGAAAAGACTCCCATTTACATAATATATACATGCTTTCCTACAATATGAAGAGGAATAAAATAATAATAATGACGTTTTTCCCTTAATATTCAGGGCAGCAATAATCCTCGTCGCCAAAACACTGTTTCTGATAAAACCAGTTTCACCAGGATCGAGCTTTAACTGCACCAAAATGTGACTGCAGCATATCGGTTTATATATAACCATAACACCGTCTGTCTCACGCTGCACACAGTCCAGTTGATAATGAATGCTGAACGCATCATGAAGACAGAATCCTGACTTTGATATAATGACCTCAAACATGTTGATTCAGAGAGAACCAAAGATGACGGCGATGATGATGATGATGATGATGATGATGATGAGTGTAATAACGCAAACTGATTGTGGCGGCTGCTTGGCAAAGTAAAACGATTCAGTACACACAGATCTTATTTATGTATATTTATATGACATAGATGAAAGACAACAGCTTGTACGCCTTGATCCTGACAAGTGAATATTTCCTTGTGCTAAATTATGCAGCGTAAAATAATATTTCCTAAATCTGTTTACTTTAATTTCTTATAACTTTTATTTTGGAATTTTAAGTGTATATGCAAATGCAAAAAACGTATTTGTAAATAAATGTCTATATATTTCTGATGTCAGTCTGTCTTGTACTTTTTCTTTGATCACTGTTTATTATACATTTCCGTGGTTAAGAGATCAACAACATCATTAAGATTCATCTTTATGGGGGCATGAATGCTTAAATAACATGGAAACCCATCAAATATTTGTTAAGATATTACAGTTCAGACCAAAGTGGTAGTCTGAAAAACCAACATTGCCCTTCCTATACATTCAGAATAGTTTAAGAGGTGCTACAATATCGCCAAGGGACATTCAGAGAGCTCCATATTATGTTTAACATAAAGCATTGGTTGCCTACCAGGGACCACAATGTGGGGATGTTGGTACGTCAGACGATTGGTCCACCATTTTAGTCCAGACTGAAATATCAATATTCGATAAATATGACATTTTTTGACATTCATGGTCCCCAGAGGATGACACACACTGACCTTAGGGATCCCCTGACTTTTCCTCTAGCACCACAAGGTTGATATTTAGTGTTTTAGTGAAACGCTTTGACGTCATCTGAACTTTGTCTATTTATGTAGCGCCACCACCAGGTCCACAGTTGACTTTGTCCAAGACTTTTATTAATATCTTCTTTGCAAAACAAACGACATTACCTTCAGCCTCAGTTTTACTTTGTGTTTGCTGCTAATTAGTGCATGTTAGCATGCTAACATGATAACCATTTTACGCCCTTTAACATTCCTCTCATGACCCCTTTTAGGGTTTCAACCCTCAGGTTGAGAACCACTGTTGTGGTGGCATGTGGTTAATTAGTGTCAAACATTGGAGTATCTTTTTGTTTGGATACAGTAAAGGTCAGCAGTGCTCTACTCTGGTTCTACCCGACATGTGTTTAAAAGCAGCAGATTGTCTTGGAAGTTTCGATCCAAAGTGTAGTTGCCCCGGAGCATATACAGCAGAGCCGGGTGGAGCAGTAGGACCCAGTAGCAGCAGTGAAACAGCAGCAGAGCGCTGGCAGGAAGGAGGAGTCTGAATATGGACCAAACAACCCTCCACACCCTGCAGTCTGTGGAAGTTCCTCCGCATTCCTGACATATACACACACACACACACACATACCCGCACAATAAACTGGGAGGAACCACACACTGAGGCGGGGTAAGTGTGTGCAGAGAGTGAGATTGTGTTGTTTCTGGTGTTCTATTCAGGAAACCTGAACAGCTGTTGTCTTCATGTTCCTTTGTGTGTGTGTGTGTCCAAACAGGAGTTCGGAGGAGGGGTTGTGGGCCCGCTGTAGGACCAGAGACCAACCAGTACCTCATCATCTACGCTCCCTGCCAGGTGCTGTATTTCCTGACTCAGCCTCTGTTCCCCTGTATACGTCTCTCTCTCTTCCTCGCTGTCACTGTCTGTTTAAACATAACCCTATCACCATAGGAGGGACGGTATCACTTTCAGTTGTGTCTTCCTGTGTCTCTGTCTGTGTGTCAGTGTTACCTTCAAGTCCAGTAGCGATGCAGTCAAATCAGAGGAAGTTCTTTTCTTTTATCTGCTGTTTTTGCCAAAGTAACCACAATGACTTCCTGTGAAGCGGAACATTTTCGTGTAGGTTCATATCTGAAGGGTGCAGCAAGTAACTGAAATGAGTTAGCAAGTACAGTGTGCAGATTCCTGGAAAGATTATGCCTAAAGTTGCTGCCTGTTTAGTCTCACTTAACCAGCCTAATGCTGTTATGATGCAATAGCTGGTGATGCAAATGCAGAAATGAAAGATGAAAACTGTCAAGATGTGACTGCACTCAAATATGTAAATGATTGATTATGAAAAAGTCATCTCAGAAAGGTGTTTGCAAAGGTTGTTTGGTGGCACACTAACAGAGTCCTTAAACAGGTGTAATAAGCCCTGACTAATAAAACAGTTTTTTATTGCCTTATGACTTTAATCAGCTCATAAAAAGATTAATAAATAAAGTAACGACAGTGACATATGCATGCTACCATGCTCACATTTGCAATGCTAACATGCTGGTGTTAAGAGGGTTTAATGTTTACCATGGACTTCATCTTAAGTTAGCATGTTAGCACTCCCACATTTGTTTATTAACACAAAGTAGGTGAATGTCTGAACCAAATGTCATGACAATCCACCCTGTAGTTGTCGAGACATCTCCTTAAACAGCGCAAATGTCAACCTCATGGTTTTTGCTGGAGGAAACGTCAGTCGATCAATAAAGTCACTAGCATTCAACCTCTGGTAACCATGAATGTCTGTGCACAACGTTGTCCAAATCCATCTTGCAGATATTAAGATATTTCCCAGAATAAGTGAAAACTTTGATCCACATTTGGCGCGACATGTAAAGTCAGATCACCAAATTCATTTGAATTCCTCCTCTGGGCACCGTGAATGTTGTGGAAGTATTTCACTGGAAGGCAATAATGTCAACCCCTTGGTGGCACGATAGAAAAAGTCAGGGACCGCTAATGTCAGTAGGATTTATCCTCTGGGGACCATGTACAAATGTTAGGATATTTTGTAGAAAACCTCGCAATTCTTTTTACAGTGTCACCAAACCTAGACTAGTTATTTGGACATGATCTACCCCCCTAGCTCCTCTATTGGGAGATGTTTAGGATGGAGAACAGTGAACGTAACAGCGGACGGTATCCGCAAACTAAAACTGTTTTGTTAACATTTCTTCACAGTCTCAGCATGAGTAAGGCAGGTGGTGATGAAGGTGGTGGCAGCAGCAGTGAAACAGCCGAGCAGCCGGAGGCTAAGACTCCAGCGGGAGCGGCCCTGAGCAAACTGAGTGCTACCACCGTTGGACCGGACTGGACCAAAGTTAGTTGCCCCTGCTGTGTGTCGGAGCGGGTCGAGCCGTTGGTTCTGGTGAAGCTCGGAGAGAAGGTTCGCCCTGAGACGAAAAGGTGGCTCATCAGAGTGATCGGAGCGCCTCAGAAAGATGGAGGTGAGGGCTCGAATAACAGCGATGAGCTGCAGGAGTCCTGTCGGGCTCACTTTTCCGTCTGCATCGATTGCAACCCTGCAAAGAAAAGCATGCATATCAAACACGTATGAGCCTTTCTCTCTCTCATACTGAAAGTCTATGGAACAGAAGACTGATTGCCTGAAGGGTCTCCAGCATCATTTCTTTGCTGATGACACTCAACATTCTTTTTATTTTTTCGAGCATCTCATCTTGTCCCATTGAATGTCACATCAAAACATAAAGCTCAACCTAACTAAGACAGAACTCCTTAACTTCTCAAAGAAATCACACCCAAATCGTTTCCCATTCCCTGCATGTGTTGATAATATATCAACAACTGAAGTTTTTGCTGTTGAAGGAATGCGACCAGCTACAAAATAAGAGTTTGACTGTCTCTCCCCAGGTGCTGCATTACTGGCCCACCCGGGCGAGGAGGCCACTGGTGACATCATCGTGCTCTCCGCCCCGCGCTGTACGTTACTTAAAGCCACTGAAGAGTTGGGTCTGTGTAAGACTTACCGCAGCGGGGAAATGGAAGCCTTCTCCTACAACGACAGAGACAACTTTAATGATTCAGGTACAGCAGTAGAGCCTCCGACGTGTGCAGGCACACTTTGACTTTCACAAACACTCAATAAAATCTATTCTGAGGCAAATTATATCACCGGTACAGACGATGTAATGCAAAAAAAAACATTCCCCATTCCAAAATATATTATCTTATTTCTAATGTGTTCTCTTATCATTTTCCTGCACAACCATCTGGCGACCCCCTGAAATGATCTTGCGACCCCCTTTGTGGGTCCCGACCCCTATAGGTTAAAATAAAACACTGATCTAAAGCACCAGTGTGCCTAAGTACAGCCTCACAGATTCTGGTGTGTGTTTGTATTCATCGCTGGCTATAGTTATGTATCAGTGTCCATTCACGTGTGTGACAGACAACATGGAGGTGTTCCTGACCCTGGCGGAGCGGCAGTACATCGTGAAGTATGAGCTGGATGGTCTGCGGGCGCAGAGAGACCTGAGGATACCCGGCCTGTCTGACAGACACACACTGCAACACCGTGACAACATCTGTGAGTGCTCTCACTGTCAGTATTGGGCAGACACGACGTACACACAGTGGAAAGATATCCATCAAGAACAAAATGATTTATTGGGAGGATTTCTGTTTTTGCAATTTGTTAATTAATTTGATCATTTCAATGAATACCTCGGGACAAAGATGGAAACACACACACACTACTTGTTAAGATGTTTTTTGCAGTAGACTCATCTCTTCACATTGCAGACTCTCATCCAGTTCATATACAACATTTTGAGCAATCTCTCCATCACTTAGGAGCATGTTGACAGCAATGTTGTAAATACTCAACGTTCAGCCAGCATCCACGTGCACTATTTACATCTATGGCTCGCTGACCTCAGCTGTTCTGCTCTCCTCTCCTCACATTCCATCAAGAAATTGCTTTGGTCAGCATCAGCCTCAGAGTGCGTCACGCACCGACTAAGTGTGTGTGTGTTACTGCATACAGTGTGGATTAGTCGTTGCATCTGTCCTCAAGGCCTCAAGGTGTTTTTAGTCATGGGTGTAAAAGTGAATGTTGTTGCAGGGCGGAAGCTTGGGTCAGCTGGTGTTATTGTGGACACGCTTCCCATCCACAACCCGGACCAGCTGAAGGATCTCAGTGAGGCCTGGTATGCTGGGAATCAGCTGGCTCAGCCTCTGGGTGGGTGTAAATACAACAAACACAAACACACACACAGTACCACATGACTGAACTCCCACATGCAGAAAGTGATGCGAATTTGCAAAGATTGCAATGGCTGTCTCTTGAATGAATCGATCCATGCATACACTTACACCAGACACCTGTCTGCTGCTTTGTCCAGATTCAGTCAATGGGTATTTTGGAAGCTCTGTGGCTTTCTACTTCAGCTTCCTTGATTTCTACACCTGGTCTCTGCTCCCACCAGCGATACTGGGCCTGACCATCACATACTTCTCAGGTAGGTGTGCGCATTTCTCTTTTACTTTGGTGAATGTACACTTTTACCACTATAATGGAGACATATGCAATTATTTTGCAAGCTACTAGGCTACTTTAAGCAGAAATCTGTTCACACCGTGAAAGTATCTTAAAAGGCCGGTTTGTTGCAGCACATATTACAGGTGAAGCAGCAGTTAGAGCTTGAAATTACTCTGGCCGCCATGTGACGCTTTACACCAAACAGATTGAAACAATAATAAAGGTCTGCTCAAGTGAGGCTATAATATTCATTAAAAAAAGAGAAGCCTTGCTAATCTTATCAATGGAAGCCAAGAACGGTCGTTGCAATCATGTTACATAATCCCTTTATCTTAAAAACTACATCACAAGCTAATTATCTTGGGAAACAACCTTTTGTTTTTTTTAAGATACGTATTCCGTATTACCGGAAGACTTTAACAACTCTCTCATCAAGACATCAAGACAGACAGGTAGGGTTCAGGCGTTAACATAAATGCACATGAGCTTACCGGCCTGGATAGAACAGTCCAAACAGAAGTAACAAAGTCTGCGTGTAAACAGGAACAGGCCACAAAAATGTCTCATTCAGTATTTCAACCTGACAGTGTCAACCGAGTTCTTCTCGCCCGTCACAGGTGAGGTCCAGAAGGAGATGGAGGAGTCCCTCTCGGGCTCTCCGGTCACAAGTGACGACGACTCGGGGACGGCCGTCAGCGGTCACATTATCCAGGCGGTCTTCAGCATGCTCTGGTCCACGGTGGTCATGGAGCTGTGGAAGCGTCGGAGCTCCTCCCTGTCCTACCGATGGGGGACCATGCACCTCGCCGAGCGCTTCGCCGAACCCCGACCCGGCTTCCACGGCGGCATCGGGGTCAACCCCGTGACAGGTCGCATGGAGCCGCTCTTTCCTGACTGGCAGAGGGACCTGCGTATGGCACTGGTGTCAATCCCAGTGGTGGGGCTCTTTCTAGGTACAGCTTCAAATGTGAATTGAACAAACTCATCAGTGCACGTTATTGAAACTTAGCAGAAAAAAATATGCTCTGCCCTTTAAAGATGGCAAACTTCTCAGCTCTTCCTTCCGTCCTCGTGTCCCCTGCCCTGTCACATCTCTCTTTGCAGGCTTGGTGGTTCTGGGGATGCTGTGCTTCTACTGGGGGGAGGCCCAGGTGCAAGAGCTCCACAAAGACTGGGACTCCCTGCTGTCTCAGACTCTGCTCTACGTCCCCTCAGTGCTTCACATCAGCTACACAAATGTGCTGGCGACTGTTTACAGGACGGTGGCAAAGTCCCTGACTGAATACGGTGAGCAAGATGGAGGAAACGGCATGGGGGTGGGGGGAGAGTGATAAAATCATCAGCTGATGAGGTCGTGTAATTGTACCAATAGTATTGTTCATAATGCTTGTGATCAGCCAATCATTTCCCTTATGTCTCCCTTTAGAGAACCACAGAGAGGAGTCCGCCTTCGAGAACCATCTGACAGCCAAAGTCTTGGTGGTGAGTTCCTCCTCGCCCCTGCACTCCTCTCCAACCATTACCTCCTACCTCCTCTTAACCCAGCAGCCTCTTTCACCCGGCTCTTGTCTCTCTCTCTCTTCCCCTCCAGTTCACCTTCTTCAACTACTTTGCAGTGCTCTTCCACATTGCCTTCTTCAAGCAGGACGTGCCTTTGCTTCGCAAGGTAACAGCAGCAAATCTTACTGTTGTGTCTTCAAGCGGGGACCCCAGTGATTTAGCAATGCACTTCCCTAAACTTGGCCAAAAAAAAAGAAAAGAGAATGGCATGAGTCGATGTGGTAGAGGCCAAGATATCCTGGGGCCCGACTCATTTACCATGCTGGTAATGTTAATACTTAATCTGTTTGATTTAAATGGGGGAAAAGGGCTCTGATCTCATCAGTTTCCGTGATTGCTTGGCATGTCGATATAAATATTAACTTTGGTCGGCATGTAAATCAGTAAACCAGCGAACACTCATTTCTGGCGTTGTTGCGTTGGGTGGGAGATGTGAGCGTCTCTAATGATATCGACCACAAACATTCTCCCTGCGAGATCTAATCTGCAGCGTTTCATTAACTTACTCTCATTCAGCGAGAGTATTCTCATACCTCTTCCCACCATTTTCTCCTCTGCTTAAAAAACTCTGAAGCTTCTTAAAAGTCCTCACCGCCGACTCCAAACAAAAGCTCTTGTTAAGGGCGAAGACGCTTTGTGGATATCTGTTATCTTTAGCAGGAACTTGTCCTAACTGTAAGGGGAGATTGTTAAACACGTCATAATTCTAAGAGTTGTCTTAGAGTTCCGTCACAAGGGCCAACTCTTTGTACTAGGATGCTTTATCAATATGGCCCCTTCTGACTAATGTGGGTCAAGGCCCAAAAATGCTGGATCCCACAATTCCCATAATGCAACTTGATTTTCACCTCACTTCATTTATTTTGCCTGACATCATGTTCCTTTTAGCCATATGCCTGTTGGGAGGGGAGGTTATTTGTTTTTGCTCTAACCAGTGACGTCAGTGAATGAAATAAAAAAGTTCACCGTTTGTCTTTGTCCGTCTGAAGCGTCTGGCGTCTCTGCTGATAATCACCCAGCTGCTGAACCAGGTGACAGAGGTGCTCATTCCCTTCCTGGTGGACCGGTTCATCAGCGCCCCCCATAGGACAGAGAGCGAAGACGACCCACAGGAGGACAAATTTAGGAACCAAAGCACCCTGCCTGCTTTCCCTGTGAGTGTGCAGTATTCAGAGAAAGCGCATATCGAAACAGGGATTAAAAAAACCACTCTGGCGGCGTCTGACACAGCTTCTCGTTTTCGTCACAGGGCTTGTTTGCAGAGTACATCGAGCTCCTGGTGCAGTTTGGGTATTTGAGTCTTTTCTCCTGCGTGTTTCCCCTGACGGCCGTGCTGCTGCTCATCAATAACCTAACGGAGATCCGAACGGACGCCTACAAGATCTGCAAACTCTTCCGGAAACCCTTCTCCCCCCCTGCGGCGAACATGCGCGTGTGGCAGGTCAGCAGAAAACACAACGCACAATAGAAATGAGACGCAGCCGTTACGTAGAGTGAACACATCTCGTCATTGTCCTGTGTTTCAGATTGCCTTCGAGGTCCTGAGCTTTGTCTCCGTCGTGTCCAACTGCTGGCTGCTGCTGCTGTCGCCGTGGTTGCAAAAGCTGTTTCAGGAGGGCGGGTGGAGCAGCACACACGTTCTGCTGTTGGCTGTTTTGGTGGAGGTAAGAGGGAGTCGGGAGGGGTCAGTAGTGAGAGTCACATGAACAATGATCACAGCATGACGTTTTCACCTCTGTGTTTGTTTGCAGCACGTGCTGATCTTGGTTAAGGTGGTTTTAGCGGTGCTGATACCTGATGAACCGGACTGGGTCCGAAAGAAGAGGGAGCACATTGAGTTCACGTCCATGCAGGCCTTGAGAGAGCAGGTAAGCCCTCCACCATACATTTCATTATTTCGCATATTGGTGTTCCACCTCATTAGCGTGACAACTCTCCTTTCTTCTCTTCCAGAAGCTGCATTGTGAAGGATCTTGATTGCGTTTCAAAGTGTTGAGGCGTTGCTTGTGTTGTGCTGTGCTCGGCTGCTTCAACTCGAAGATAGTACCAACCTCAGTGTTGCGTGGACCCACAGAGGAGAAGAGTCTTAGCTCTTCAGCAGGGCCCACAATGCATTCCGCTGTGCCCCAAATACTGCCCCAGTAGACTTTAGTATTCCTGCTGCTCTCACTAGTTATGGTGCTTTCGCAACGTACACCATTTGAAATGCACACTCATATTACATGTACACTGCAAGTGCCATTGAAACAGCAGCTAAAAAGTGTTCAAAAAATATGTATTAGACTACAAATGGAATGTATTGATTATGTGTGCAGACGCCTTTAAAAAAGACTCTCTGGTACGATACTGGAGGTTTCCTCAGGGTGTGTCTGGATTTAACGAGGGCAACTGAAGAGGTCTTGTGAAGTCACTGTGGCCACAGTATGTACAGTCAGTAGTTTCAGTAGTAAAGGACAGACAGGACAGAGTATTTGAGGTAATGGTGAGGGTCAGGGGCAGGCAGAATACTTGACAGTACTTGACAGACTTCGTCGGGAGTGGGACTCTTTCAGGAGTATTTTTGCTCAGATTATTGATAAGCCATAGTGTTCAGGATTCACAATAGGAGGACAGTACCATCCCTGGACGGATTATAAGATAAGATAAAAAGATGAAACTATATTTATGTGTTGTTTGCACTGTTAGCGCTGTAAGCACCTTTAGATGCGAGCTAAGCAGTCGCCATATTGAGAGGCAACGCTCTGAATTTCGCACTTAGCAACTTCATTCAATATTTTTGTGAAAGGTTGGTATCATAATAAAGAAACCACGAGAATTATTACCCAGCTGTGCAGTTCCGCTCAGGTCAGCATTACAGCGTTTCTATGCTCTCATCAGTCTGAATTCAGCTGTTTTCAGTAAAAAAAAAGAAAGAATCTGTAATAAACCCAGTGTTTGCTAGTAAACAGCACATAGACAAAGATAGACACTAGCTGGTGAACATAATTAAATGTTTAGCAGCTAAAGGAGAGTGAATATTGGATATTCGGTGGATAGAAACCCAACCCAACAACAATGTTGTGTTTACAGTTAGTTGTGCTGCCCCCAAGTGGGCAAAACACAATGATTGTTCTATAATAGGTTTACAACTGTGACTCAATTCACTTTGTTGTCTGAATTGATGTTGAAGACCTTGTAAGAAATCGGGAAACGCGCTTAAAGATTTGCCTCTGGTTGTTAAGTTAGAAGGAAATGTTGCTCTTGTATCCTCCCTTGATGGTACTGCCCTCTCCTTAAATAATAAGAGTACGCTTATAGGACCGTGGCACACCTGTAACATGAGATGAATAAAGCAAACTATGGACCAAGATTTGATTTGCATTGTGTTTTCAGTCTTCACTCGCCTGCCAATCTGCTGTGTGCCTCTAAGAATGACTGCTTGAGTTCACTGTGCTGCAACGACTAATTCACCCTATCGTCTGTCGCTTCACACTCACACTTCTGGTGTTTTTTCACTGTTCACTGCTGGCTACATTTGGCTTAATATAATGAATGAAGTCCACATATTTCTTCCATACTTGCTTGACAGTGGTGTATTGTTTTTCCTTGTGAGTTATTGATTTTAAGAGTTAGTATTCTTTGCAGCCACCAGGAGGCACTATACACTCTCCATGTAATTCCACAGCTTTTCACAATACAGGCCCAGGTGGCTGCAGTAGGACTGCCTCAGTGAAGGTGCAGATGCATAAGGGGGGTGAGACTTCCTCATGCGGCAGTAAATGTGCACTCCTGACACTGATCATAAAACTTGCTGTTTGTTTGTGTGTGTCTGTATGTGTGTGTGTGCTCTGTTGTGAAGGGTTGTGAAGAGATAGTGAAGATTAAAACTATTAGATTTCAGGTCAGAAAACAGAGGTGGCAATGTTTGCCGGTTGTCCTTCAATAAACTCACTGAAGGAAACTGGTTGTTTGTTGTGTCTACTCTTTGAAAGGAATCAACCTCTCCAACCCTCTTTACTCCATTTATTTGACAGCTGCGGTTAGTTTCTCTTCTAGAGCTGAAATGATTAGTGGATTTATCATTTAGTCAATTTAGAAATGGAAGAATTCAACTTTGAAGTCATATTTCAAGCCAAAATGCTAAACATTCCCTTAGTTTTGTCTGATTGTAAACCAAATATCGCCACAACAAACATGTTAAGGCATTACTTTGGGCTTTAAGAAATTATGATAAGCCTCTCACAAATCAGATTTATTGATAATGAAAAGAATCGACGATGAAAAGAATCAGTTCCAACCTTATACTTAACAGATGACAAACAAAACATGTGATGACCATATGAACTACAGTATAATGGTTATGATTGTTGTAGATGAAACAGGGGGTTTTTGATATCAAAGGTGGGGCGACACAGTGATCAGTGCGAGCACAAATCCTCAAAAGGGCAAGATTTCAAAATGTATCTCCTCTCACAATGTTTGAACTAGACACTCCATACAGCTCCATACTTTAATAAATACTGCCAACACTTCAAAGATTTTATATCTCAGGCAAGCTTCCATACGAAGACACTTCATCCGCCCAGCTTTTGTAATGATAATCATCATGTCATTTACCATTTACATCTTCTAGGCCTTGGTCATCACTAATCACAGAAGACATTAATTGTTGGATTTATTCATTTTATAAAAGAAGACGCTGTTGTTTTATGCATGGATTGGAAAGCTTCCGAAAGGGACACAATCGCACGGGAGCTTCTGTTGGAAAGATACAGAGCGGCTTTGGCTCAGAGGGAGAGCAGGTTGTCATCAGACGCCCCGGATCCTCCAGTCCGCACCTTGAAGTGTCAAGACACTGAACCCACAGACTGCTCCCTTAGGCCAAACCATCGGTGTGTGAATGAGCGGGAAAGTGACCATTTACCATGTACAACGGTGACAGAGCGGAGGCATTTTAAAGTGAATTTGTAGACCACAGCATGCCAGAGATATTCTAAAAACTGTAATTACATTGTATAATGCAGCAGAAAACATTATGAAATGTGACGGTTGACATTGTGGAGTTAAGCATTGCTATTTCCACATACCTGCGTGATAGGAACATGAGAGATAGAGTAGTATCTTGTGAGCCTCATCTTCTACCTGGGAGTAAGGCGTTTGTTTTTGTAATCGCAATGTGCATTGTAATGTAATGATAAGTAGTTAAAAGTGATTGACATTTAAGTTACATTTAAGACCCTTTAACAGAACAGTGTGTCGGATTTGGTGGTAGTGCTGTGGTTGCAGGTTGCAACCAGCTGAATACCCCTCTGCTCACTTCTCCCTTTTCCAAGACTGCGATGACTTGAGCCGCCTCGTGTCAAACTGTGGTAACGACATTCGCCTGAGTCACAGGCCTTCCTCACCGTAAGAACACCGTAAGAACACCAGTTTATGAGCAGCAGAAGTCAGGCGGGGGGGCTGAGGGTATCATGGTTTTGCTCTCTGTAGCTCATGTTACCGCAGTTTCTCAAGCGTGTTGGAGAACTACAGTGGCCTTCAGGTAACGTAGTTTGTCCCTTCTGGGCTACTGTAAAAACGCGGCAGTGCAACAGGGCAGACGCTGTGAAGGGGACCCTCTCCCCATGTACATATGAAGGGCTCATTCTAAGCTAGGCCTCCAGCATTTTCTGGAGGACGAACACACACAAAGAACACATTACAGACACACAAATTCAAATATAAAAAGCATGTCATTTGACTGTGGCACTTTGGATGTCAATGTCTATCATAGAACATATACTAGAAGTTCACAAAGCAGCTAAAGATGCCACTGGAATTAAAAATATGTTGTATATGCTCTAAATATTAAACAATATTAGACAGCTGGTTATGAGAATACAATATCTTACCTCTGAGCTTCAGCTCAGTTGGTCTGTATAAAGTTCTTCTTCTCAGATGACATCCATTGATGCCATATCTACAAGGGCATGACAAATAACAGCACCCGTCTTAACCTGGCTGGTAACCCAGCCTGGTCCAGAAGGGGCTATTTAGTTTCTGGTGTGTGTGTGTGTGTGTGGGAGCAACAACACTGTACAGTATCACTGTCCACGTTCTCTATAAAGCACACTGCACACATTCATCCTGTTGATTTAATCCATTTTAATAAATAAATACAGAAAAATATGTTCCCAGCTCCATGGAGACGTGGTCCTAGTTACAATGCAGGTCAGTAGACGCAGACACACTGAGGGGAGACGGGCTGCAATCGCACAGGAACAAATAAAGTGATTTTTATCCCCTGTCTGCACAGATTTCATGCTTTTCATGGCGGATGATATAATCAGATTTCACGTGACATCCGCTGCTTATGTAGTCGGGCACCGTCCAATCAACAGGTCGTACGCCTAAACTCCAACGAGTTGTACCCGTGAAGTAGTGAGTGATTGGAATACGCTCTCTTTACTGAGCTATAGGAGGAATCTTTCGCTTATTGTACAGCTTTGGCCTTCTTTAACCTTACAAAATATCTCAATTATTGTCTCAGCTTCTAAAGAGAAAAAAATATACAGTATGAGAAAATAGAGAAACACACTGAGGCATTATATGGTATACTAATACCATACGGAGGGACTCCTCAGCTACGTAATAAGGTATCACGTCATTCGGTCTAAATGACCAACAAATCTAATCTATCAGTCCAAGGACAGAGCGTGTATAAACCTGCTGCAGTAGTCGCACTGTGTGCAATTCATCATTCAGTAGATTACCTCAAGGTACTTACAGTTACACAAGAACAACGTCCCGTCAGATCCAAGACACATGGAGGTATATTGTGATAAATAACAGTAATAACATGCACAAAGTCACATGTCTCTTCAGAGAATTCATATCTTTGACAGTCATATAAAAAAAAAAAAAGAAACTTCATATCTGCACATCCAAAATAAATCTGTTATGATCAAATATGATTAAACTGTTCAGGGAGAATAAAAAGAACAAGTTCAAATACAATGGAAGACCTGCATCCCAATCAATGACCAATGACCCTATCAACAGTATGATACAGTATGTTAGGACACCTCATTAGGTTAACAGTACAGAAAATCATATCGTCATCTCAGACTTAGGCATATATTACACAGTATCATATCGTATCATATACCACATCATATCATAACAGTCTCATTCTTTGTAGAATAGAGCTGACGTTCAGAGCTGTGTAACCAATGAGAAGCAGGTTGTGCAAAGGGAAGAGAAAAGGAGTGCTACTCTGTAGCAAAGCTGGTTCAAACTTTATTCTAATTCACGTATTATAAAATCATGGATCGACTGAGTGCTAGACCATTCTGACTTTTAGAGCTTTATTTTACCAGTCAGCACCAAAATGACACGGTGGCCATGCATGTACAGTATCAACGTATGTAGGCACCTCTTAAACAAACAAACAAAGAAGACTATAGCTTATTCAATTAAAACGTTTTATGTCTATCTATTCCTGTCGTCATCTCTCCTGTAGGTCCGGTATTGTTTCTGAGCAACAGACGGGACACCGTCTAGTCGCTGTTCACAGCAATGCAACCGCATGAGGTTCAGCTGATGTCTGACTACTGTGCTGTACACCACCGCTAGCTTAACACGTTAACGTTTATCACATGAGCACGACGCTAGGGCCGAGTGTTTGTAGGTGTGAGGCTGTACACGTCGCGTCCCGTACGCTGAGGGTCTTTTGCTCTCCTGCCTCGAGGTCAGCATGGAGCTCGGCGCTCTGACGCCGGCTATCTGCCCACAGCCAAACTGAGGCCGCGCGCAGGCTGGGTTTTCACCTATAGCACGTGGCAGCAGTTGTACTGAGCCAGCGGCAGGATCTTGGGCTTGTTGTGTGTCGGTATGTTGAAGGCCAGAGCCTTCTCGCACAGGGGGAACTGAAAGAGTCTCTCGCGCAGCTTGAGGCTGTGCCGCTTCCCCTGCTCCGCCCTCGGAGCGGCCTCGTTGTGGGGTTGAGATCTGTCCGCCGAGGGGTCGTCTCTCCCGCCCTCCTCCGTTTTCTCGTCTCGCGCTCCTTCTCGTCCCGTTTTTTGCGACTCCTTCTCGTTCGGCGCCAGTCTGAAGGAGGACGCGGATTCAGGGAGGAGAGGAGGAGGTTTGTTGGTGTTGTTGTTAGGTTCTGTCTCCTCGCCCCGTCCTTCCTCTGGGCTTGTGGAGTCCGCCGGCCCCTGACAGCACGGCACCCCCAAACCAGGCAGAGACGACGGTGGGACTTCAGGTGTCTGACTGAGCGCTTTGTCTCCGTGACTGACTGGCTGGTCGGAAATCACGCATCCACTGTCTTCTTTCTCTATTTCCATTCCTTCCTGCTCCTCCTCTCCCTCCTCCATAATCTCCACTAAGCTTCCTAATTCTTCTTTTTGTTCCTCCTCCCTGCACTCTTGATCATCTGCACCATCAACCATCTCCTCAGCTTCTTTTTCCGGCTCTGCTACAAACAAAGACACCAAACATTCACCCTCTTTTGCCAAAACTCCCTCCTCCTCCTCCTCCTCTTCCTCTTCCTCTTCCTCCTCTTCCTCCTCGCAGATCTGCTGTAGCGCGGGAAGGTTCTTGGTGACCGGAGGCTCCTCGGCCGGAGGCGGACGGAGGACGAAGCTGAGGCTGGGCTGCCAGGGGCCTGGAAAAGCCTGCTGAGGTGGGGGCCTCGCCGCAAGCAGGTCCCCGCACTCGGGTGCTCCCGAGCGGGGAGAGCTGGGAGAGAGGGCCCCCGAGAGCCAGTGCGGCGGGGCCTCCGGGCTGAGCAGCGCGTCGTCGAGCCCCTGCAGCCAGCCGTGAGCCTCGATCTCCTCGAGCGAGGCGCGGCCAGACGGGTCCTTCTGGAGCATCCTGGAGATCAGGCTGATGGGGAAACGACAGAGAGGATTATTGTTTCCATGCAAAGAACATAAACTGAAGATTACATGCTTTATGCCGTACATCACATTTTGTTGAACAGCCAATACAACAACTGAATTGACAAAGATAAGTATCTGATTAATATCTGAGATAGGTCATCGCCACGCATCTTAACATAAATGAGTTGATAATGTCCAGAAGGTTGTTCTGTTCCATTCAAACGCACCATCATGTGACCTGCGGCTGAGTCATATGACTAGAGCCGTCTCAGATATCGCAGGATGTGTTTGCGGCTACAGATAATTGAACAAACCATTTGGTGGAGGGTATTTCTGCCTGTTGCCTTCTGGGGAACAGGAAATCAGTGTAAAAAGGTGTTCATTCATTTCAGAGAAACAACTGCATGCAGCTGTTTCACACGTGCAACCTGTACTGCTGCTGTTGCTGTTTATTAATGGTGCATTACGTACAGCACTCACTCAGGCTGAGTAAAACATTGTTGATTATTCAAACGGGATCACAAAGTCTATTTTAGGACCGTGAATCGCCACCTTATCGTGGTGGAGGAGTTTGAGTGGCTCAGTGATCCTGGGAGCTATGTTGTCCAGGGCATTAGCCCCTGGTAGGGTCTCCCAAGGCAAACAGGTTTCAGGGGAGAGCCCAGACTAAGAGCGGTTCAAAACAACCCCTATGATAGTTAGCCCACGGACTACAGCCACCTCGCCCGGACCAGGGAAACCGGGGCACCCTCCCGGAGCCAGACCCAGGAGGGGAGCTCGTAGGCGAGCGTCTGGTGGCCGGGCCTTTGCCCATGGGGCCCGGTCGGGCTCAGCCCGAATAAACACCATGGAGCAGCCACCCTGTGGACCCACCACCC